GTGACATTCCTCAGACGAGATGTTAAAGCAATGTTCTGACACCTGCTCCTCTAAAGGCACGAAGTACTGTTCAGGAGACGGAGGCGTGAGCCAGGGTCTCCAGAATCTGGCCTCCTGATTTTCTCCCTCCGCTCTCACCTGCCCTCCTGGTGGCAGCGGAGTAGAGAGGGGAGAGACCTGCCCTCCAGTGGAGTTGGGAAGGGGATCTCTGCCTGTAGTAAAGACCTTCAGATCCCTTGGGATCAAAGGCATCGGACAAAGATAATTCATTCCAACATCACCTGATCCGTCGAGAGTCCTATGCTTTTAGCCATGTGCTCTGACACTCTGTTGGCGTTTCGTACTGTTTCCTCGCTTTGTCTAGCTGTGTCAGCATACACACCTCGGTCTTTTTCATTCCTGAACTCTGCAGGCTCGGTGTGTCTCCCCCCCGACAGCTGTCGCTCATTTTCCTGCCGCCTGCGCGGACCATGTGTTCGCCCAGCCCTGTATAAATCCTCTAAATGAGAACACGCCAGCACGCCTCGCCTCTCTCCTCTTACCTTTGCCTCGAAGGCTGGGGACATGACCAGCACCCTGAACACTAAACAACCCTCCCCAAACGTCTGTATTTATCCTTTCCCAAAGGAGAAGAGAGAAAACGCAACGTTTCAGCTGTGGAGCCTTCTTCAGGTGTCGAAGGCTCCACCGCCGAAACGTTGTGTTTTCTTTCTTCTCTTTTCAGCAGGGAATAAACCTATTACTTGTTCCTCTGCAGTCCTGACGCAGCTCCCCACCTGTGCTTATACTTGTCTGATCTGCAATTTGTTTTTTTACTCGGAAGGAATCTTGAATTGGCCTGCAGCCAACTACCACCCGGCGGTGGTGTAACTGTAACCGTCCAACGCGACGGGAAGAGATTAGGTCTTACGTGCAAGTCGTCAGTATCGGTCTGAGTGCGCGCCGACACCTGTCATTAAGTGGTGCATTGTGCTCCTGCTCCTGGGATGTTTACAATGGCTGAGGAATGCGGGGGGGGGGCAAAGTGCAGCACGCGCGGGACGCACTGGCGCGCGGTTTGAGCGCTCCCGCACGGGCTCCTGCCCGCTTGGCAGGGGTCACGGGTGGGTCCGGCCGCGCGGCGGGCGGGCGAGAGGGCGCCACTCCGCCCTCCGGCCCCGCGTTTTGCGCAGCGACAGCCCGTGGGTGGATGGGGGTGGGGGCACCCTGGAGCCCTGCTGCAGCAGGTGAAACACATCGTGTTTCCGCGTCTTATTAAGACTGTACACTTCGAAATAAAGCACACAGCGTCCGGCTGTAGCCAGCACGGATATTGACTGTGATCGATTTCCTTAACAACCTTAGTACTCCCGCCAGTAATAACAATAATAACAACAGCAATAATAATAATAATAATAATAATAAAAGTTCAAGTAGGCAGCTGGGTCAGAATGCAAAGAACAGGTAAAGGTTTATTCCACTCTGAAGGGAAAAAAAGACACAACGTTTCGACTTCAGGTGTGACACCTGTAGAAAGCTCTCAGCCGAAACGTTGTCTCTCTTCTTTTCAGCTGACAATCTTTACCTGTTCCTTCATCATCATCATCGTCATCGCGTACATGCTTTAAGAATTAATCTTGCTTTCCATTAGTGAGATCCAAACCGACAACTACGCATATTGTAATAGTCTTACTGCCCCCGTATCTTAATCGACTAAAACGATCATGTAACAATTCCCATCATTACCTAGCATTATCCAGATAGATTGTTCTGAATGGTAATAAAACGAATATCGATGAGCTATTAATACTACTATCACGGATCCTGGAACGCTCGCTTCCTGGCACACTGAATATTTTAAAGGGAGATTGTAAAACCGTGAGGGTTAAAGGAAAAATATAGAAGTGGAGTTGTTTTTCGAAAACAGACGTGACCGAAAGCAGCAAAGCGTTGACATGAATCAGGAGGTGCGTTGAACGGAATTCGCAGCGATGAATGCGAGGAGCAGAGCAAGGCGTAGGTTTAACTAACGAGTGAAACCAGGCGCTGCGTGCGCACAACGAGGCTCCTCCGCGTTGTTTTCGTTTTTAGCCGAAGCGCGCCTGTTTGACGTCGCTCCCTCACTGGCGCAGCCGCGTCCTCTCCTCCGGCGGAAAGGTGAAACCTGGATACCGGCGGGCCAATCGCAGGGCTGGAATCTGTTTAAAGGGCCACCGGAGCTCGTGGCAGACCTAAAAGGAGGCGATGTGACAGTTCTCTCGCATTGCTCCCCGTCGACACCCGCCGAGACCTCCCCGTGGTGTCACTTGCGCTGACACAGGAGTCTAGAAGAAAAAAACAAACAAACTGTTCTTGTTTTTTCTCTCTCTTTCGCACAACCGAGAGAGAAAGGAGGTTGGGGGGTGGGTGGGGGGAGAAAGATTTTTCTTCTTCTTCTTCTTCTTCTTCTGCGAGTCAAGAGGGATATTGACCTCAGCTGGAGACTTGTATGCCTCGGCTCCCTGTGCACCTGTTGCGCGGAAGAGATCTCCCGTCAGCTGAGCCCCGCAGCCCCGCAGAGTCCGAGGTAACGACCGGGCCGTCGGGGCGCTCCAGCAGCGCAGGGGGAGAGGAGGAGGAGGGGGGTCGAGGAAGCTTGCGCCCCGGAAAAGTGGCACCTCGTTCCTAACTCCTTCTTTGTAAATCGCAACCCAGAGGAATGCCCGGATCCGCAGCCTGTAACTTCTCTTGATTACAGTGATATTACCAAGTAGTGATGAGCAGATGACCGCGTCTCGGAGATCCTCCGTGGGCAGCGGGGGCTGTCTGGCTCTGAAGCTACCTGTTAGAGTGAGCCATTACTGACACCCGGCTGCGTTCGCGCACCGCGCAGCTCTGCGCTTCTGTAGCGCAGCATCCATTGAGTCTGCTTTGAAAGTTCACGTTTAAAAAGCGTTTTAATCGTGATGCGACGTTAACGCGGTATACGCTTTTTTAAAAAAAAAAAAACAACCTCTGTTCGTTTAACAGCTGTGCGAGAAGTGGACGCGTTTCAGACAGCGGCTCGTCATCCGCCGCGGAGCGCTGTGCAGGATGCCCGTCCTCATGAGCCCAGAGATCGCCACCAAGTTCAAGGAGAAATGGATGCTGCTGCATCCGGACGAGCAGGACAACATCAGCGGCTCCATGAACCTGGACGACAGCCTCACCAGCCTGCAGTGGCTGCAGGACTTCTCCATCCTGAGCGCTAACCTGGAGAGACCCCCCAGCTCGGGCTGCC